CTTTTATCGCCTGTCTTCATTGTTTTATAAGTTCGGGTACAATTTTATGCCTTAGCTCGAGTGTTTATGTTTTTGGTTCGCCCACCATCCGCCACCTGGCGACGCACCACGTTGCCTCGCGACTAACCGGCATGAGATCCCTGTTTGAGGAGGATCCGTGGGCTCGTATTTTATAACACTTATTCATGTAGCATTCAATAATTGTTGTAAACGTCAGCTTTAAAAAATTAATAGTCCGTATTCCTTGAAATTTACATTTTCCACAACTAAGCCCCTTACAACTGGCAATCTCTGCAGTGGTCATTTTCACATATAATTTGCACTCATTGCGACCCGTAATTTTTCATGCCGTCTAATCTTTGGTGTCCATGAAGGGTTTTTCTTGTTGTAGATTCCTACAGTTAGCGCCCTTGTGGTTTATCGAAAAAGATCGCTTTACGTACGTCGTAATAGTGCCACTCTTATCTTTCCAATTCACCACCATTATATCCCTCCCATTCCGTTCGGTATCCAGTTTTCTGTTCAGCTTCGATGGATAGCTTATGTAGGAGTACATTCTAATTCTACCTCAATTGGATAACTAGATGGGTTTCTCTCTGGAGCGGTGTCTCAACCAAACGGATATTTCTACTGTATTTAACAGTGATCGCGTGGTTTCCTTGACCTGACCAATCATTCATAAGCTCTGATCTTTGTTGAGCATCCGTTTATCTTATTTCATATGACCCGTCTTCACGTTTACTATGGCAGTTCTACCACTTCTCACATTCCATTCGTTTCCTTGCACCCGCTATCTATTAAGGTCTTCCAACTTTTAGGTGGCTTCGGCTACTGTTTGAGTATTTCCGTTTTGTCTTAGATGTCATAGAATACTGGTAAAGTTGATTCTCACTGGAGTCCTGAGATAGCGGGCTAGAGCGTTCCGAATTGAATTGTAGCGAGACTTTTTTTCCTGGACAAGTCCGCTGCTAATTTCCCTACTTCGGTGATATGACGGGGTCGGTGAGCTCAGAACGAGATCGAACCAACACCGTGCTCGTGGCGACAGCAGTGGTATTCGTCCCCCTATTATGCTTTTTTAGAGTTTTCTAATAACTGGGTTCTTTCAGTTGAAGCACTGATTGACGGTGGGTGAATGGACTGTTACTGCATGAAGTCTTAAATGTGAAGGGTCAAGAGCATTTCTCTAAAATGACTTCACTTTCATTTCATTTCACATTTCTTAACTACAATTACTGAAGACTTGGAAGTTTGGCGAGATAGAAGAGAATTTGTTGCAGTCGTTCCGTGAATACAAAGACAGTGCTACTTGTGCTCGGAGTTTAAACTTTTAATATTTTCGTGAAGGAACGAATTTTTGGAAATTTTTCACCCAGGCGTGACGGTAGCAAACGACAACGATGCATTTGGGACGTTATCGTGTTCTGCCGCATAGAATCCAACTTAGTTGATTTTCCGTTTGAAATAGGACCCGAGGAAAACGAAATTGATGTATTTCTTGGCAAGGATATATAGGTCCCAATGGGTGGTTTTCTTCTTAAGTTAGAGTTTGTTTGCTTGAACTGGTTGCTAATCATACGTATCTTTGCTAGTGTCTTCGAAAATGTACACTTCGTAGACAGAGATAAATGAACCAACTACTGAGGGAAAGGCCCGTGCGGTGTGTTGCTGAACGCATTAGCCACTAGAAAGGGTAATACCGTGTTCGATACCCACCGCAGACACCTGCGGTCTGGAGCTTTGTAAGTATCTCAACATCATTATTGTTGAACCAACTACGTTAACACATAAGATTTGGTTTTTGGTTTAAACATATACGTCTAAAATGTCTACGCGTTTCAACTTTAAAAGAGCCATCGTTTAAGAGTTGACTTTATTGAATTGGAAGAAAACCACTAGAGTTTAGACATCCTTGCCAACAAGCCTGAAATTTTTTTTTCTTTTGTTGCACAATGATGCGTCTCTGATTCATTGTGGCCACAAAGGCTTCCATCCTCTTCTCTTTTCACGTTGGAACTCACACTTCAAATGGCGAGCCGATTGAATACACTAAATTAAGTCCAATTATGTCCGCGAATTCCGTTGTTTTTTGCGGATCCCGGGACTGAATTTAAAACTAAATTCCATCCGACGTTTTCTAAATTTTAAGTTTGAAGCTGATTTAATTGTATCGTTTTATAAAATTTATGCATGCCGTCAGAGAGAAAGTCGGAATCCACCCTGTAAGTCTACCTTGTTCTCGGGGCGCGGTGGTCGGAGGTGCCCTGCAACACACGTGAAATCGGCTCCCACCCCTGTGGCTCACCAATCCTTCCATCTCTCCGAAGTCGGTAAATTGCTACCTGGCTTGTCTGGGAGGATGGGAGCGCTGGTTCGACACATTGGTAGACTGTTATGAGTCATTGTAAAGGCCAGATATGCATTCAATCACCTCCAAACGATGCTTGATGAAGTCGAATGCATGGCGCATCCCTTAGGGATTGGTCGACTCCGAGAACTTTGCCCTTTTTCTGTCTTATTCTGAGCATCTTAGGTGTTATAGTTATCGAGAAACTATATGCGATGATCAATGTATTTTAACGCTGTTAATTGATGTCTTGTCCAGTTTTTCGCCCAGAAGCACTTTTTTTGTATTGCATTGGTTGACTTGCATGTGGCGGATTTATCAGTAAGGCTGAGAAAAGCTATTTCCCATACATAAGAATAACGGGAAACAGCCTATCATATGAGTTTGTTTATCAGCCAACAAAGTCTGTTGACGGCGTATTAGAAAACTAGTATATTCGTACCCACACACACAGGTTTCGCAATCATGATTTTGATTGCACGTAGAGTATTTAAAAATGAAGGATAAAGCCTTTGGCGTCGATCAATCCCTGAGCGATGCGCCATGCATTCGGTTTCATCGAGCAGCTTTAGTGGTGATTAAGTGCATGTATGGCCTATACGCCTCGATCCCCGCGCCTATGCCCATATCCCTCCGGGGTTGGCGAATTGGTGCCAGACTTGTCTGGGAGGATAGCAGCACTGGCTCGATACATCGGTAGGCCACTGTGAGTCATAGTAAAGGCCAGATATGCATTCAATCACCTCCAAACGATGCTTAATGAAATCGAATGCATGGCGCATCATTCAGGGATTGATAAACGCCGAGTGCTTTATCCTTTTTTATTTTTCATGGCCTATACAATGAGTTGCGATAGCCTAGTGGTGTATCAGGTCAGTGCTGCTGTCCTCTCAGAGAAGTCTAGTATCAGTTTGCTCACTCTGTACGGATGAAAGGCTTGGTGAGCACGAGATGCTCAATTGAACAAATGGCCTCGTTGGCATTGCCCGACACCACTAATTATGCCTCTCTTCCGCGCTACACACTCATGAAGGGTGTCCTTGAAAATACCACAGGTCCTGATTTTTTTCGTGTGCAAATGTATCGGTAAATATAAAATGTATGGGCGATATATACTGAACATATGTTGTGCATCCAGGTGCCAAAGGCTAAAATTATCGTGCCGTAGTTGGAAGATAGACGAGACCCATTACGTTTAAGAGTTGAGAATATTTTGAATAAATGAACTATATAGAAAAGAATGGTGCATATCTAGGATATGGACAGCACAAATTTCAAGCGGCAAATAGAAGGTTTAAGCTTTAAAACGGAGGTTTTAAAAAGGCTTGACTATTTTTTGATGGAGCATCGTGACCAGTACGAGTGTTGTTCAGCTCATAATGCAAGCCTCAAACACTTAAAATTGGGAGTCGGGCTGTAAGTATTAAACATTTTGAATTTTTAGAATTTAAAAAACAGGCGGAAGAGGCGAAATACGCCGAGACGTTAGCTTTTTTGGGAATATAGAGTAGACTGACACCCACCTGTTCGCTCATCAAGGAAAAAGCGAATTGTTCAAGAAACAGTTCATTAAAATTAAGCATACTTTTGGTGTTATAGGAATTCATTCTATAGGCAAATGAAGCTTAGTTATCGAAAAATAAATGGAAGTCGATGGAAAGTAAGCGCCGTTTCATGTATCGCCAACGAAGGTTGTTAGTCGGGTCGTACGTGTTGGGCACGTTGGAACCATCCCACATTGATTCTTGCTACAACTGAGCTGAGACGGGGTTGCTGTGAGACCTTTGTTCGGCTGACGTCTCGTCGCCGTCACCTTCCCGAGAGCCGTGTTGATCCGAGTCGACGGTCCGTCCGCAGTCGGTCGTTGTCGCAAACTCGTCGCTCGTCGTCGTTGCCATCGTCCCACACGGTTTTTTCGGAGACAGACTACACTTCTTTGCACAGTTACTTTGTTTAGCTACTACCTGTGAACGTAGTCCTTTCTTACCTGAAAATGCAATCCGATTTGTGGGTGTTTAATGGTATTACTTGTTCCTTTGCCTTTTTTACCGAAGGAAATTCCGTTACGTTGACATCTATGGTAGCGATTGTAGAAATTCCATGCTTATAGCTCATCTGATTTCTACGGATGCTTTCCCTTTTTTGGGTTATATTTCCTATTCGGTAAGTAATGGAATTTGTCTAGTTATTTCAAAACCGACTTTCCTTTAACCTCGGTATGATTAATAAGATTCTCGGTAATCAAGATGTATTTTCTTTGATAAGCTTACACGGGGTTAAACCTATAAATGAACCTCGTGTAAGCTTATCAGAGAAAGAATACATGTTGTCTGGTTAGTTGAAATGTGTTTTGGTAGCTTCCAGTTTTTATTCATTCGGATCATTCGTAACAGGTTTTCAAAGGTTTAGTGATGATTTCGCGCACAGAAAGTAGCTTTTGAGCCAATATTTTTGACATTATGAGTTTGTACTGCTAGACTCCTATGGGCGATGATTTTTTTTTTTACCGTATTGTTGAGTGCGTTTTGTAGACGCTTTTATTTTGATTTTTGCTAATTGAAGGATCGGTTTTCAACATAGGATTCCCCCATGCTAATAGCATTTTAAATGCTGGATTTATGGTGGTGACTGCTTTGATGTCACCCAGAGGATAATGATTTTACGACTGGATCCATGTGGCTTGATATGTGTTCTTATGATATACGGGTCAGTGGTCTATGCGGATTACGTAGTCACTATCTGGATGGTTATGCCGGTATTTGGAAATTCGTGGGTTTCATTTCTTCTTTTCTTTTTCTCATCATGTTAATGCTACAAGTTACAAGTGAAGCTAGCTACACTTCTTTGTTGGAGTGTTTTGTTTGCTGTGTTGATCCACGATTCCCTATCTTTACGTTTACTTTGTAATATTTCCCAGTTTCCTAGTTTTCCTTTTTTATTGGACAGGAACTGTGAGGGGCCGTGACTCGAATATCTTTTACTAACAAGAACTTTGTAGGGCTGAGTGTTGTGGATCCAGTAAACAAGAATGTGCAGTTAACCTTGGCTGTAGAATTTATACTAAGATAATAAACCGAAGAAAACGGTTAAATGAGTTAGAATATGAATCCAGGCTAAGTAGGACTGCAGAGGCAGTCACCATGGTCTTCGACAAGGATAAAGGTGAAAGTTAAAGCGTCCTGAGTTGAGTTGAGTTGATCAATTCCTTAGAGAGGTGCCATATGTATTCGAGTCCACTTTGAGCATCTTAGAGGTGACCGAATGAATATAGATGTATTAAGTCGGCGATGCTATCCTCCCAGGCAAGTTTACTGGAAATTTGTGGATCCTGGAGTGGTGAAGGGATGGAACTACTGCGTAAAAGTGTCCCCAGTTTCTGTTATATTTGAATGTTCTTCCAGTCGTGTTCCATAAAAAGGGATACAGATTACAGAGGCAAGAGATAATGATTACAAATATGCAAATAATGATATCAGAAGCCCTCTGTGACCTAGATCTATTTTTCCTCGATTTTTTAGTTAACTCATTTCAGCGTTTGGGGTGCTTTTCATATAACTTTGTTCAACACCCTCATATTCATGACGCTGTTTTCTCACGGGCGCACAATGTTCACTGATCCAGGAATAGTTCCTATACTGAAAAACAAGTATGTTTACACCGAACTTATTTCCCACTTGTTTTACAAAATAAGAGCTTACACCCGCGATGATTGTTCGATCTCTTCGAGTTGTGAGCTGATACAACTCTTCGAATTTCAGAATTTTCCATGACAGGTCGGCCCAATTTGGTTTGATGTCTTCTTCGTCTGAAGATGATTGTCCGAGTGATCGGGAAGCAATGATGCTACATTCCGGAGATAGCGCTGTGGTAATTGAACCATCATCCTCGTTGCTAGGGTTATATTGTTGTATTACTTGACCATAATAACTTTTTTTAAGAGTGATAGTCAGTTTTCGGATTCCAGCGCCAAAAGTAGGAATTTCTCTCGAGCACAGGAATCTTTGTACTCACTTTGAAGATAGGCTCGTATTATTTCCGTCGATTCTGGCGGTATTACCCCTGTTGTAGGTCGAACTCGGAATTTTTCTGGCGAAGTGGTCTTGATCTTGAACATCACTGAGACATGTGATATGTTTCGTACAATGACTATATCCACATAGTCGGTGATATTGTCAATGCGACTCAGATTTAATACGTCACGTGGGCTTATCTGAAGGAATGCGTTTTTGACCCAGTCCGTTTCGGGGCTATGTAACCTTGCATCAATTACCGTCTTTAAACATTGTGGAATGTTTCGTTTCACTGACCAATTGCTTGATTTTCTGGATATTGTTAATAGTACTTTTCTGTTCGCTTCTTCGTCATCATCGTCAAAGGTGACAGCCCTTTTAATTATTGAGTCAAGTCCGTTTCTCTCGAAGCTGTATCCAATCTCAGAGGTTGTCATTTGGCTATTATCTTTCCGGCTTGCTGGCAGGCATTTTGCTAAGTCGTCCATGGTGAATTTGAAGTGATCCTCACCTCCCATGTGTAATGGGACATTTCTGCTGTCAACAAATTGACTCATCGTCTCCTTCGTTACGTGATGAAGTTGAGGATGACTAGGATCTAACCAGGACTTCACGACCTTCCACGATGCGCTTAGCATCGAAGGTGACGTTGATGACGAAGAAGCGAACAGAAAAGTACCATTAACAATATCCAGAAAATCAAGCAATTGGTCAGTGAAACGAAACATTCCACAATGTTTGAAGCCGGTAATTGATGCAAGGTTACATAGTCCCGATACAGACTGGGTCAAAAACACATTCCTTCAGATAAGCCCACGTGATGTATTAAATCTGAGTCGCATTGACAATATCACCGACTATGTGGATATAGTCATTGTACGAAACATATCACATGTCTCAGTGATGTTCAAGATCAAGACCACTTCGTCAGAAAAATTCCGAGTTCGACCTACAACAGGAGTAATAGCGCCAGAATCGACGGAAATAATACGAGTGATAGTCAGTTTCGCTTTAGGCAGATTGGACGATGTGTACTCGATGCGAGTCATTTAGACCTCCTCGTGCACATCACTGTCGTGTTTGTCGTCGATGTATTCGCAAAATGGACCACCACTGTAAGTATTTCATTTTCCAGTTTTCCAGTATTTCATGTTTTTAAGAAAGGCCTTTACTGCGGACCTTTTGTTTTTCTGTAGTGGTTTCCCTATTTGGTTGATCGAAAGGTTTTGAAATAAGTTGCAAATTTAGATGCCTCTAGAAATGTTTCTTGCAGTAAGTTAATGTTATGAACACCGCGACTTTACTCAATCTACCTTTTGTCCCGCCTAGAGCCATAAATATTTATTCCTGTTGGTTTATTTTGTACCACAAATGACGGAAAACTAAAATTTTTCTTAACTCTTTTATTTACTGCCTTTTTCTTCTTAATGGCAGGGTATGTTGTGAAATATAACTCGTATGAAGTGCTGAGATATTTTCAAAACTCCGGACCACAGGTGTATGCAGTGGGGAACGAACACGCGCTGTTGTCCTTACCGGGGAGCAGCGCACTTCACCACTACAACATCCGGGTCCTTCGTTTTGCCTGCTTCTCGGCTAGTTTTAGTTATGTTCAAGGAAGTAGAGCTTTCGAACGAGAAAGTCTTCACACACAGAGAAAATTGCCGCCATGAATACGAATGCCTGCCAGATGGCAATGTCTATCCAGTGAGTTTTCAACAGACGCACCTGCCAGCTATGGGTCTTATAGAAAACAAGGTTCACTTCCAAAGTTTTCACAGTTATGAAGATTACACCAGCATAAGCGGAAGTAGAAGGACGGTCAGTGTAAATCAGAGACAGCCTTGCTAAATAAGGTGCTGTTGAAAGAAACTAATGCTTCAAAGAAAGATCTGAGGTTTGAGTAGAACACAGTTCATTAAACTTTTCGATTTGGGCGCCCCAGGTCATTCCCGCTGACGGGTGATTGCTGTGGCAAAGATCGATAGAAATAGCTGAGAGACAGGCGAAACAAAGGACCCGCATGGTGTGGTGGTGAACGCGTTACTCCCTGGAAAGGACAACAGCGCGTGTTCGTTCCCCACTGCATACACCTGTGGTCCGGAGTTTTGCAAATATCTCAGCACTTCTTACGAGTTAAAATGTTTCGGTTTTATGCAGAGTTTAACTGCGTTTTGTACCGATAGGTTTCCATAGAAACTGTTGTTAATAAGAAAGGTGTATGTGAATTTTCGGTGTTGGAATGGGACAGTACAACCGGCACAAGTTGATTTCAGTAGTCAGCTCACGTGTCAAACCGTAAGGCGTGAATTGGATGTGGTATCTGCAGAGAATTAGTCATCCTACTGTTAGTGCTAAATAATTTCTTTACTTTGTGACATACGCTCCTAACGAATGTGCATTGCAAACTCTTCGTAAAGGCTTGAATAAGCCTGGTCCACTGAGAAACAAATCCAAAATTAAACGCTTTCACAAGGTGGTTATTATTAGGTCGACACAAAAATAACCATTTTATTTCTTTGATATTGAAAAGAACTTTCCTTTGAAACAATTCGTCACTTTGAGCACTCTTACCATTCAAAGTTCCATGGTTTACACCGAATAGAGTCAATTTCTGGCGGCTTCAAGCTAACGTATGATTGTTTTAGGACAAAAACCTACGGGAAATGGGTTATGATGAAGTAGTATGATAGGCTAAACAAAACAAAATGCTGCTTGTGTTAGGTAGTGTTTATGTTTGCTGTACGTTTTCAGGTCCGTGGGTAAATAACTGTGTTGGAGAATTCAACCAAAAGTTTTTCCTCCAATTTCTCTTCTACGTCGGGTTATCTAGCATGTACTCGATATTGTGAGTAGCTTTGAATTGCGTTAATATGGTTTTATAAAATGTTTATGAAAAGCTAGCTAAGTTTAATGCATTCTTATAGAAACGTAATGTATAGAGTGCAAAATAAATGATATAATAATGCTTGTCTTTCTGAGTAATGATCCTCTCCTGGATCTACGACGATGAGTTCGCCACCACAGGTCTTAAGGGACCGTTTGGAGAGAACGCACATCATGCAAAAGTGTATGTTCCTGTTTTTCATCGTAGTCACTTTTCAACATATATATATATATATATATATATATATATATGTTGTATAACACAACACACAATATAATATGTATATATATATATATATATATATATATATATACATATTGTACTTTATTACAGATTACATTCTATCTTTCTGTCTATGGAATGTGCAGTTTTTGGAATGTTTGTATTGGCTGTGTCATGCGACCAGGTTCTGTTTCTGATTTTGATATTTTTCTTATTATATCACCAATGAACACTTAGTAGGATACATGAACAATCCATCTTCACTGGTTGTGCGAACCCTAGCATAATTTTCATTCTTTCGGAGTTTTGGTGATCTGGCCATTGTGGTTCCCTGGGGTCCTGAGCTCAGCCAGGCCGAAGTCTGTCCCAGGTCGTCACCATCACAGGCGGTCGCCGCGCTTGTGGATTAGGGGGAGATTTACCACTATGCGACTAGTTTGCTACCACGACGGTGGTGGATTTGGTTTACTCTTAGCTGGAATTCCTGATAGAAACGCCGGACTCCTCAGCTTGGAAGGCTCTACAAGATGGATGAATCTCCTAGTTGTGCATCGCATTCCGACACCCAGGAACACTTCCCACCCACATTGAGGCGGTAAACCGTTAGGAGGGTTATCACCAATGAACAGCTTTTCAAATCAAATTTGCTGCACAGCCACTTTGCCATAGATTCCACTGATTGTTCCACTGAGATCATTAGAAATGATTTTAGCTAGGAGCGATTTTTTCTGAAGAAACAGCTGTTGAGGCGGCCCAAAGACGAACGAAGCAGGTGTACAAACGAGGAAGTCGCAAAGGAAGGTTTGCGCTTCTTAGGGAAGTTTGCGGAGGAGGTGAGAAGATTGAAATTTGTAAAGCAAAAGCTAAAGAACATTAAGAAATGTTTTCAGGTTTGGTAGTTCATTCGTTGTGAAAATTGTTGTTTTCAAAAAATGTAGTATTTCAGGCTCGTTGTATTCCTGGTTTATTCCTTGTTCTTCTCCACCAGTTAGCCGTGATCACTGTGTAGATCGTAGAAAGTTGAATCATATCGATATATGAACAAACTGCGTAGCAGTTTGATGCCAAGGCATGTTGGCTTGAAAACGGGCTTTCTTCGCGTCGAATATTTCGAAGGCATATTTCCTCTTGGCTAATCTCATTAGGTAATAGGATCTTTACTTGACGTATTTTTGTTTGCTGGTTAAACGACTATGTGTGCACCATGTGCTCAGCGATTTACACATTCGGGTAAAATCTGACCGAAATGGTTGTGTTGTTTGACAGGAACGTTTGTTTTGCGATGATTTTGGAATCCAACTCGTAATTCAACGCTACCGTTTTTAAAGCCACCTAGGGTAATTCTCTCTATTCATTGGAGATATCATTGATTTTCTATACTCATCTATCCACATGTACTTATGATTATCTCTTGTTTATTTCTGTGCTAGCATTTTTTTTCGTGCACCTTCGATGGAATGAGGTACGGATTCCGAGGATAACTTGGTTGGAATTCCACATTATGACAAACATGTCGTTTCATAATAATGTATGGTAAAATGCTCCATATGAATGAGGTTAAACGTAACCCCTGAGCTGCATTGTATTCTATGCAGACGCCATGACATTGTGGACGAACTGTTTTGTGTTCTATGCAGTTCCTCTTTCTTCAGCTGTTTATTTTCCTACACAGAACTTGTGCTGTCAATCGACAGCTTGTCTAATATTTGTATTTCGAAAAAAAATTATCAAGCGTTGTTGCGGCAATCGTTTACAACTGTTTTGAACGTTGTGCTCAGGAATACTGATTTTACAATACACAGTAGAATTTGTACATAAATGCAGAACTTACAACACAACAACCAGGCTGGCTGGCTTAGAACTTACTTACTTACTTGTCTATTTGTGGGGTATACTTCTACGTACTTATATACCCTAAATATATAGGGCGCGTGTGGCGTAGTGGTCGGGGGTGCCTTGCAATACAGATATGGGATCGATCCACGCGTCCGTGGCTCACCAATCTCTCCATATCTCCAGGGTCGACAAATTGGTACCCGGCTTTTTTACGTGCATATGTGAAAGTATAAAGCTACAAATTGGAAACTATAAGGATAATTAACAAGTAATAATAAAATTTTAGATCAAAGGAGTCCAGTTTTCAGGAAAAGCGAGTTTATTCGAGCAGTTTTTTACAAATTAATAGGAACATATTTTGTTCAGGAATGAGAACCTTTGATAGAATCAATTTAATACGGAAATGGAGAACATGTAGACAAAAGAAACAACCAAGAAGGAACCGCATCGAAACTAATGCAAAACGAATCATTGTTTCGAAACGAAACGATCATTGCGTGTTAACGTCGGAAGCGAAATTATTGCAGGGAGCGTACCGACTGTCGTCTATACATGACTCAGCTCAGGTGCATATGTGGTCTGTCCGGTATTCCACTTCCGAGATGACATTGTTTCATCGATATTGGCATTAATTACTTTAGGCTAAGGTTCCAAGCGTTGGAAGGTATCTATGCATGAAGAAGGCTAACGAAGGTGACTATCGTCTAAAGTTGGCTTTGATAAAATGAAAAGGCGTTGAATTTGATAAGACAAAAGAAAGGTAGTATTTTTTATATCCCGTTGCCTGAAATCTTTGGATCTGGACTTAAATTGTTGGGTGATTTTACAGCAATTCCAATGAGGTACACATATTCGAAATAGTGAGAGTTGAGGAATGAGTTATGATTATACACGCAGGCTTTATATTTTATCGATGGGTAATGAACTGAGGTGGGGTGGTACGGCGATTAGATCTGCATCCATTTTGACTGAAGAGCGTATAAAACAGTTGATAACGGTGACCTATAGTGCATACAAGTTCATTGGCTTCTTTGACGTTCTAACGGGATGACAAAGTCCTCCATCTCTTTGACTTTGGTAAATTGCAAGCAAACTCGTAGGGAGCGGTATCAAAACTGACTTGGTCCATCAGTAGGCTACCGCAAGTCATTAAAAGATATGATATGCATTAAGTCACCTCTACCGATGCGTGATGAAGTCTAATCCATGACGGATAGCTCAGAGATTAACCAACTCCAAAGGTTCTACCCTTTTTTAAATTCACTCTTGATTTCAGCATTACTTCGATGCTGATATGAAGCCATACTACGCTTACGTAGATAGAAAAAAGTTCGTATCACATCGATCAGAGTACTTCATATCGTTGATGAGATAAGCGGGAGGTTTCGTATTTTATATTATTGCTCACTTTAGAAGGTAGGCTGGTACTTGCGCTCTCGCTAGATGTAACGTTGGAAACTCTTTTTCAAAATTCAAGGGTATATAGTCTCGTAATTTTCTTGGAACCTCTTTGTTTGTAAACTTAGTGGGGAAATGGGTGCAACAGGCTTTCAAAACAGTGAGAATGGACAAGTTGTACCATCCATTGTCGGTGCTTAAAGCAAGCAAATGTGGTGGTAGAGCCAAAGAAATCTCTGGAATTTTGCAGCAAAAATACCTGGTCCGATATTGGGACTATGAGAACTGAGTGCTTAGGTCCCACAGAATTCCTCCCAGGGAAAGTAGTTTCCTTCACTAGTTTTGTAATAATTTGTTTTGTATTTTTTGTATTTGATCCGTCTTCACGTCTACTGAGCGGTTCCCAGCACTTCTCACATTCGATTCGTTTCCTCGCATCCACTGTCGACGATCATCTTCCAACTTTTACGTGTGCCTTAGGTTGCTGCTTGAGGATTTCCACTTCATCTTGAACGTTGTAAAACGCTGATCGAGCAATTATCTCAGGAGTCCTGAGATAGCCGAACTGGAGCGTTCTCAATTGGACAGCAGAGAGTGATTTTTCCCCAGACAAGTCCGGTAGCAAATTCACGACCCGGAGGGATGAGAGGCTTGGTTGGCCAGCGGCGAAATCGAAGTAGCGCCATGCTCGTGATAACGGACATCACTACCATTGTGCTATCCGCCCCCTAATAATTATAATATTTTACTACCATCTCAAAATCATTTTTTACCGGACATGAAGGTTTTCTGTCGTCATCATTGATCTCTGTCATGGTAGCCGCAGTAGACCTCATGATTCCATCGCTAAGGAGATCGAATAAAGCAATTGAATTCTCTTGCACTGAGAATCATTAAGTATCTAACTGGCAATGGCTGGTGAAGTTCTCTTGGATTCCTTACCTTTGTCGCATAACGTTTGGAAAGCAGCTGTTTTAATTCATGGTGCATGGAAAGTGGACTAGAAGCACAATAATCCAGTACATTTTTTTCAGTGGTTTATTTGCTTCACAGAGCTCTCTTGCTATATTTTTTTTAACTCGTTAGTTAATCCAGCACAGATTCCATGATCCATTAAAATCTGTCCTCTACGTCCAATTGTTTACAAATTTTCTTCGTTTGAGTTGAATCTGTTTTCTTCACAGCATTTATTGCCCTGGCCCTCCAGTTCACTTCCTCTAACTCTTTGACTGGAAGACTACTTCAGTTATCATAACTATGCTGAGATGTTTGCAAAAATTAGCCATTAGTCCAACTTCGAACTTGCGGCTACCGTTTCTAGGGGTTCACATGTTACCCAATGCACTACCGAGGCCATTCCTTTGCCTTTCTCTTACTTCAGTTATCGATGAATTATGAGCTTATCATGGAGAAACTGGCATCATTCGTTATGTGCTGATAGAAGTGTCTGAGTGGAGGACGACTTGTACTAAGTAAGCAGCTGACATAATTTAAAGTGTGCTCCCAGTCAAGTGAAATTATGCATCGGCCATTATGTATTAAGGTAATACATAGATATGAAAACATTGTAAGAAATTTACTGTTTTTCTTGATGAGCTTAATATGAAAGTTATTAGTATCACAGCAGTTATCAATACAGAGTAGCTGATATTTCGGCAGCATTGATTTTTTCAGAGTCTGGAAAGGTCAAATTGACATTCAATCTACTCAGCAAACCTCATCTCTCAAACTCTTTCATAAGCTGAGCAGAAAAAACTTGACGCATAAGTCTTCTTTCGTATAACAGACAGTTTCTTTCAAACACTTACCGTTTTGTTGTCTATAAGTGCTCCGGTTATTTGATGGAGACTATCCGCACATAGTTTTATCACGGACGAGGAATTCGGAGAGGAAGCTCAGAGAATAAGCCTGAGGTGTGGCGCGAGATCATGCGTGATCACAGGACACTACTCCTGGCGGTTCATGCTTGGATTTTTGGAATTTATCCTAAGCATTGCAAGAGTTTTAGGCGCTGATGTTTTCGAATGAAAATTTATGTGTTAAGTTTCGCCTGTTGAGCCTGTGAAAGTGCATGACTAAGTGGATTATGCGTCAGCTGGACTCTTTCAGGTTCTTGAGGAAGGTGAAAACGCCAAAATACCCGTTACTCTGCATTAATAAATGTAGTACCAACCTTGTGTTTGCTCATCGAGAAAAACAGTGAATTATTGATTAATGCCCAGGTTAAAGGAAAGTCGGTCTTGGGATTTATTCCAAGAGGTATAAGAATGTGAAGAGTCCCCAGTCGATGCATGAATATGTGGATTAATTCAATCGCCATTAAAGTCCTATCGTGTGTTGTGGCCGGATGGCTGTATCTCCACTTAGCATTGTCATTGTATGAACAGTGGTCGCGTGTGATCGATGGTAATATGAAGTAATGACGTCAGCTACAATAAGGCACGATGAATGGTGTCGCGGAGATACAAAGCCCGGTCATAAAAGGAATCTTTTTGTATAGCCAGGGCCTGTCCACAATCTGAACGGTAGTGGGAAATATGCTCAATTAATTCGAGTTTGTAGCTTTACTTTGCTGATAACACAGAATCAGTGCGTTCCAGATGATCACTTCGAACAACTTAGAAAGACCAAATTTCTTCGCGAAGCTCATAAAACCGAGGAATTCCAGTAGAGAAGACTCAGTTTCGTCGTGCAGAGATGTGGTAATATATTCACGTCCAACAAACGTTTCAACGTCAACTATTTCGCGTCTCGATTATTATAACGTACTTGGTGTGACACCAGAAGCATCGACCAAGACAATCCGGGCTGCGTACAAGGCACGAGCCATGCTGTGGCATCCTGACAAGAATGACGGTAGCGACGAGAGCTTCCGGCGTTTCATGGAACTTCAGCGGGCATATGCCGTGCTGTCGGACAGGAACAAGCGAGCGGTCTATGACCGACTCGGTGCCGTGGAGCTGAGGACGGTCGAGGATTGCGAGGAGGGCCAGCAGCAGTGCATGTCTGACATATCGTACTCTACCAAGTGCATGCTATTGCTGGTTTGCGTTGGCCTTTTAACTTGTTGCTTCTCATGCTACTGTTGCTTCGGTTGCTGCTCATTATGTCGTCGTTACCCAAGACACGAGAAAGTGCAGAAAAATGAGGAGAAAACGGAGAAGAGAACTGAACTCAACTCGGGCTGCTCTGAGGTTAGTGGAAAATAGTGCTGACCTTAGACCTGTCATAACTCTTTCAATAATTGAGTGGACGTTTAGAGGTTTTGAAACCGGGCATACTTAAAACGACTTGTAGCTTTCTCAAAGCAATTTCGGAAAGACTACGAATTAGAGAGTGCGGAATTTTAGCTCTCGCGTTCAAATATTTTGTACGCGTATTTGTCTTATGAGTTCATTTCTGGTTACTCTGTTAACGGCATTAAGTTAGCGGATCGCTCAATCATATCAACACCAATATATTTACGTTTTTCTTGGACGGAGGAGAAACATTAAACACCTTGTAGACACCCAGCATATTAAAGCCCCTCATTGCCACGAGGATTATGGTGAAAAGAAATGCCGATTGAGCTATCATTTATCGGTAAAAACCTTTATTTTGATGAAACCGCAAACTTATTGACACACTGAATAGCGAATGAGTTGCTAGTCAGTATATAAAGGCTTTAGGAGTTGTAGGACAATCTCAGAATTAGGATTTTCTTATTCTTTCTTTATATCTTTATTTTATATAACCTGTCTTCACGTCTACAGTGCGGATCGCAGCACTTCTCACATTCGATTCGTTTCCTCGCGTCCATTGTCCACGAAGATCTTCCAACTTTACGTGTGGCTTTGGTTGCTGCTTGAGGATTTTCATTTCATCTTGAATGTCGTGGAACGCTGGTCGAGATAGGGATAACCGGGCTAGAGCATTCTCAGTTGGATTGCAGAGAGTGATTTTCTTTTTCCAGACAAGTCCGGTATCAATTTCCCGACCCTGGAGGGATGAGGGGCTTGGTTGGCCCGGAGCAGAATCGAACTAACACCATGTTCGTGATGACGGACATTACTACCACTATTCTATCCGCCCCTGTTCTGTTTTTCCTGTTTCTTATTCTTTAAAGGAGTAATCATAAATCTGATGCGAGGAGTTTCCTTTTGCTGAGGACGTGATGCTAACCATTTCTAATAAGTGTCATGAAGAAACTAAGAGGGCCGAATTTTGTTTGTCTCGTGAAAAGGAGTTGGATTGCAATAGAGTTTGGCAAAATCGGTGAGTACTTTCGCGGCAATGGATTCGTCACTGTACTAGTGTACGTGAAAGGGCTGCTCATCACTTAGGGTTGTTTATGCTTCAATTGAAAAGTTAATATAATCAACGCCTTCGAACTTTTCAAGGAGAAGTGAAGAAAAAAATTTGTGAGGGTTTAGCATCGAGGACACATCAAGGAACTTTCAGCACAATGCTGTATTTTTCGGACCGTTCGTGATTTTGCCTTAAAGATTTGTAAGATTCCTCAGGAATCGAAACATTCTGTGGTGCTGCTTCAAACGAAGTGCCGAAGATCGACAAACTATGCGTACAGTTTGTTTTATCTAAAATCCTTTAATAACAGGTGTAATGAACTCGATTCCACTGATCTGTTATGGATCATAAAACGGTCTGGTGATGGTCATAAATATCTAAGAAACACGTAGAACGAAAGTGGGTATCTCGCTATGTTTGTGTCCGTGAATCAGCTGCGAAACGTTCACTTCACTAACGGTCACATTACTGCCGTTCACTTCATTCACTGCAACATCAGCGCAGTGTTAGACAGTACACAGGACTAGGCTCTTCATGCCATCCGAAGAATCTGAGGCCCTTAGAGGCGACATCTGTAGGGCTTATCATAGGCGACTGCGATGCTACTCAAATACGAGTTAATCTGACCATACTTGGTACCACTGTTGATAAGTATGCACTTGACAGTTACTTTTTTAGTGACCCGTCATCTGGTGGCGAAATATGGCATTGGTTCTGGTTACCATTTCCTATTCGTTATTCGTCAAGTCATAATTTTGAGTACAAGCTTTCAGCCACTGTTATTGTTTCGTAGGGAAGATAAAGCAGCAACAATTATTTTCTGTTGTGACTGCTCATCCAATGAAACTGTACACTGCAAATTAAGTAGGAGAGTAATAGAAGCGAGGTTTATTCAGTTCTCGCTGGAATTTCACCAGTTTCGTCCTCTTTAGAGCCTCGAGAGGTCAAACTTACACCCAATCTAGTCAGCCAAACACTTTCATAGCCTAGCAAAAGAACTCAATACTTAAATTTCGATCGTAAGAGAAGCAGCTTCTTTTAAATGCTTATCGTTTTGTTCTTTATAATGATTCAAACCAGCCGCATAGAGTCTTAGATGGATAAAGAATGTGCTTGGCTGTGGTCAACAGATCGAGAACAAGACAGTCCTCGTTGCAGTACACTTTTGATTTCCGGAATTTACCTTCCTCCGTGAGAATACTGGCTTCTACTTCAAAATCTCCGTTATGTCTCAGTGTTCCATGTGTGTCTATTAAAGTATTTGTCTCAACTTTATTTTTCCATCCAGGTGCTATTTCATACGGATACAGTGTGGTCCACCCACTTCTCCAATAAATTCGTCCTCATCGCTTGACAAGAGATCAGGTACACCTCATTCCACCTCATTCAATCAAATTCTCTACAACTGTGACAAATCATGCAGCTCTCGAACTAGCTGACATCTTAGAGGATTCAATGGAAGTTCAATCGCTGTTGCCGATTTCTCTATATCAACTCATTTTAAAGCATCAGTTCATTACCGTGCTTATTTCGCTGGAAATAAAGCGCAAATTAAACGGAAACTCCTTTTCTTCAAACGTGTCGTTTGAGTCTTGTTTTTCTTTTTCTTAACCTATCCCAAGGAGCTAGCATTTCGTAGTCACTGGAAATAGCTATTTGCCACGCCAACTCGCAAGACCTGGCAACGCTGTTGCAGAGTTGCTCTAGCATTCCAGGAAGAATTCATTTGACCAGGATTCTAAGATTTTAGTGAATACTATCAAATCCTCAAGCAGCGGCGGAGCTCATGTGCATACTCAAGAAGCTTTGTGGATAACGGATGCGAGAAAACGATTCGAATGCAAGAAGTGGTGGGAGTCGCACATTTTGTGGCATTGGATCACGAAAATACATAAAAATAATGAGTGGAAATTTTGCTTTTACATGAATTTCGTGACAGTAAGAATTTTAAGTTAGGCTTAGGTTTCAGCACAGTCTCCCACTTCTTAGCTGTTGACAGCTTACTGGTGACACTCCCTTTCGTTTCGTAGAAATCGACTACTTCGGTGTCATGTAATCCCACTGAACAATGACGATAATTCACCAATTCTTTCCATGTTAGATGAAAAACCCGACGCATCGGCTTTTTCTGGATCTAAGCGGTTTGGCTTAGCGAATAACCTAATAAATTGCAACAACTCGAAATTTTCTGCAACGTCTAGAGTGAAAATGCCGAGAAAGCTCTGAAAACCTTCGCAGGCTTCTGAGATCTGCAACCGAGCGTTCTTTTCCGGTGACATCACACTGAAAATTAAAGGACTATATTCCGATTAAAGTCACCAACGTATGGAGATGACTTCGAGCAAGTTAGTGCGTAAACCACCATAGTTCCTTTTATAGTGCTCTTCATATTCATTTTTGTCAGTGCGAGTAAATGCTATGCTATGCTATGCCTACTATGCTTTAGATCAACGCTATCTGCTACTACGCCAGGTCAAAGAAATACCTACAGGAGTCATTCTATTAAAAGTTAAATAAATTTTTGATCAAAATTTCTTGATGTCTACCTGGACCAGATTTTATCTACTGTTTTGGGCGCGTGTTGTAGTTTTTCGGAAATAGTGCGTCGTCGCGAAAATATGCTTTAAAACGAGAACTGCAAAATCATTCTTCCAATTTTCATGTGTCTTTGAGCGATGCGTTCAATTAGGAATGTACGTAGAGCGAAAAGCTTAGTAACCAACGATTTTCTGTCTAGCATTCTTCAGGGTCATTGATTAGACATGAACTCTAAATTGTTGAGCCTACACGAGGCTGTAATACAACTTTTATTCTACTAACGTCTCGACGTCTTCGTCTTCATCAGACCCAATGATCCGAGTTGATAGTTCACAGTTATTGGTATGCTCTATGTGGCGCCTTCGTCTTGGCATCTGGTCGGATTTTCTTCAGTGGAGCATCTCTCGAATGAGGCATTCTCATCCGGCAACGCTCTTTTATACAGGATATAACATATTTATATATGCTGGTCGTTAATAGTAGTGATTGTCTGGCGATAGGCAACAACAACTTGTTTTTCCAGATAAAAAAATCCATCCTGCATAAGTGGGTATCACTACCCGATAGCCTATAGCGTATTAACACTATTTAGAAAATGGACTTTCCTTTCACTGCAGTATAATTAATTAATCAACAAGTGTTTAAATGCCTCATTCGAGAGATGTTCCGCTTAGTAGGGTTCGACTAGATGCGTGAAGTAGACACCACCTCGAGAACACGAACAACTGTGGACCATCGATCCGGATCATCGGCTCCGATTGAGGTCGAAGATGTCGAGACGTTTTCCGAATAGAAGCTATATGACAGCCTCATGCAAGCTCAACGATTTAAGCACATGTTGATTAGTCGTGTCAAGGTTAAAGGAAAGTCGATTATTGAAATATAAACTTTAACGATGCTGAGATATTTGCAAAACTCCGGACTGCAGGTGTCTGAGGTGGGGAACGAACGCGCTATTATCTTTTCCGGGGCTAACGCGTTCACCACCACACCATGCGGGTCCTTCGATTCACCTGTATCTCAGGTATTTCTATTGAACAGTACCATCAGCAATCACCCTACAACGGGATTGATCTGGGGAGCCTACTTCGGCACTGAACCCAGTTAAGCTGAGGCTGTAGTTGAAATCACAATGGTTTAACTTTTTATTTGCTGCGTACTACAATTTTATAAGCTTTAAACTTAAGTTGTTGATCATGTCAAAAGTTTAACCACCTCACTCCGTAATTTTCCACAAATTTCGCCTATTGTGTGATCTCCATTTGGTTAGCCGTGAGGCTAGGAGCTGGCACATCCATAGGTGAGGGATAGAGGGTTAGATGCGGACCAAGTGCGGTACTTTACATGCCCTAAGATGCAAGCGAGCTCAAAGCGTGTTTATGAT